GGGGTTAGCATCAGCCATGCTATTGGAAGGCAGAGAGCACGATTCAGTGAATCAACACTCATAGCAGCAAATCTAACAATTGATTCAATATAATCACCCGGCTTCCTCGCAATGGAAAACGTTAGGCTGAGATGGAGCAATGAGCTTCTTTCCTGGAGGTTAGCATCAGCCATACTGATGAAAGGTAGAACGGGTTCTTTCAGACGATTATCAAATAGAAGTTATGGGGAAATTAAAATTAACTATCGAAGCAATTATCCAATAGAAGGCATGAGAGCCACTTAAAGTAGAGTTACTGTCGAAATGGAAATGATGATGAGGTGAGTGATATGAATGAAAGTGAAGGCGACGGGAAGAAATCACAAAAAGAGTAATGATAAGAGTGAGGAAGAGTAATACTTGAACACTGATTTTAAGAGGTGAAGATTAATGTATATAAGAAAGCATCCACACGGGAGTCTTTCCTACAGTGTCTCAGTTCATGGAATAGTGTTGTCAGAGACGAACCTTCTTCCCTCATTTGGAATACGGGGAAAATGTGGATGATTCGACTCCGGGGAACCAGCGTGGCGCTTTGTAATCGTAAATGCCTGAACTAATTAAACTAAAAAATAGCGCTCATCTGAACATTTGCCATGGAAATAGCGATAATGTAACAACAGGCGTCTCTCTTCTGTAGATGTTTTCTTTATTACGAAATCTGTAAGAAATACTCACATAATCATTAACAAAAGATTAAAACAACTTATCTATAAGACGATTAATTTTGCATAACTTTTTATCATCTGAGATTGCATTATCCAGCACCATTATTCAAACATGATTTAAAGCCAAAATATTTTCGTCATTACCAAATTAGTCCTGGGCATGACGATAAACTATATCCGGCATCAAAGTATCTGATCGAGAGATTGGAGGTTTTGAGGAGCGTGGAACCACCTCTTAATTGCTTTTGTTCCCAGGTCCACCCTGACCCGGGGTGGTAGCACCTGTTAGGGTGTCAGCTATGGACAAACAGTGAATTTCCAAATAAAACACTATGAAATTATAAAAATATTTTCATAGTAAAAATTCCAGCAATACATTTTATATCAAAATGACCAGCAATATATTTTATCTTTAGTTGAAGCCATGAAATTGAGAGCCTGTCTATATTTCTATATATCCACTGTGCAATGAATCCTCAAGGACACATGGCACAGTGGATAAAGGCTTTGGTTAGATCCAGTGACAGACCCAAAGAGTGTGAGTTCAGTAACCGGTTAAGGCAGTGGGGAACTTTCAGAGGGAAAATTAGCAGGAGATAACTAATAACTGACATCCATCACACATGGCACGTGGAACTGGAACGGTCTGCCCCAGTTATCGAGATGGAGGGTTCAGTTCGAAATTCCAACCACCTGAAGAAGGCCGGAGCGTACAACGGCCGAAACGTTGTGACAAATATGGCGACAAAGATGAGGACAATAGTCCAACTAATGTAAATACTGTCCATGAAATTGAGTTCAAATGATTTAGATTTTAGCATTAAATAACCCATTGAGGTGTTGATATGCCACTAAACAAAATCAACCCACTAAACAACCAACATGCAATAATTCTTTCATGACATTAATCCATATAATGATTTACAAGTTCTTAAATCAAACTGTATTCCAAAATAATAATTAAAAAAATACAACATAAAACAGACATAACGTCGCTTTTAGTAATTATGTCCGTACAAATATGTGTAGTTGGTGGGGAGGGGGGCAAATATTCGTACACATACAAATTTTTAATTTACTGCATTTCCAACTAATGAATAAAAATACTTTTCATATAATTAACCGTACACAGATGCATAATGATTAAATATGCACAGAAAATAGAGAAAAAAAATTGATTCAGTAGAAATAAATCCAATTTTTATCCATTTTGATGAGTAAAAGACATAAGTCCGATAAAAAATTGTTTTAATATTCTAGTGGAATATTCCAGAATGTCCCAATAATGTTATCAGTAATTATTTTTATCCTAAAAAAGACAAACAGAATATTTTTGTAACATAAAACACACAAATCACCGTCTCTCATAGTTATATCCACATAAACCTGTATATGTACAAATCCTGAGTATTATCTGCCATGAATCCAATTGTGAAAGCAGAATAATATAAAACATATTTTTATTACTTAAAAGCTCCCAAGAAAATTAAATTTAGTTTAATTTAAATGCCCCATAAGGAGTTGATATGCTTTTAAACAAACAATTCAAGCAAATCGATCATTACAACAAATTTAGCTTAGCCTATAGACACGTTCAGCTCTACCATGGTCTCAAATTGTGGTTCTACGCTATGAAGGTGGTTCTGAACGTAAAATTAGTATAAAAGTCCTTTGTAGCAAAACATTTGTTCACACTGCTATCGTTATTTTCCAAATATCAGGAACATTAAGCGACAAGTGCAGATGTGGACAGCCAAGGTAAGTCTGTGTTGCAGATAACCATTTGGTGTTTTAATTTTTTTAAAATTTCGATTATAATAATTTATTAGATATAAATCTTTTAAAATTCTGCATTGCTTTCATCCGGTTAGGTGATACTGTTAAGTGAAAACTATATCTACTAATCAAAAAATGAAAAGTTTAATATATTTTTCACCAAGATTTTTCAAGTAATTTTTTTATTTTTTTATATATAAAATATTATGTAACGATCCTATTTTTGAAAGTATGGTCGATCATACACGACATTGTCAAAAAAATAAGATCAACGACTATAATAAATCTAAAGTCAACATTCCTGAAATTAGATTACGAAGACTATTTGCCAAAATTTTTAAGATTGCTGAGTACTTAAAGATTGTATAAAAAAAGGGACTCATCCGTCATTTTCTTAAAATATGGTTTAACAGACAAAGTCTCCGTAGGACAACAATAAACATTTCAACACTTTATCAGCAAAAGTCATCGCTCGTTAATTTCGTAGGGAAGAGCTGCTGTCGGTTAAAAATCATCTACTATTGTTTGTTTTAAAAACTCATTTCTCTGTTAATTTTAAACTTAAAAAACTTGAAATATTTTTTTGTTTTTCAAATCTGATTAATTATAGTTTAAAAATAAAAAAATAAAATTTCAGAAAAGTATCTATTATTTTTGGAGGATTTTTCAATACAAAGTATAACATTGCGATGAAAGATGACTGAAATCGGGCACTAATCATGTATTTAAGAAAAAAATTAAAAATTGATATCAATCAATATAATTTCTGTTTGAAAGACACCAGAGTATTTTGCTTAGTGGAAATAATATATTTAATCATTTAGTTTTCAATTAAAACTAAACTGAAAGCTTCAAGAAAATTTTCCATTTATAAAAATTCATTTTAAACCAAGTTATGAAAAGTTAGTTGAGGTGCAAGCCAAAATAAAGGGGTGGGGGGGTCATACAAAATACTGGTTCTGGCTAGTTGGCTTGAAAAGAATAGACAACACAGTCTTGTACACATCTGCAAGTAAAATTGTCAGTCTCTCAGAAATTACTTGTTACTTTGTTGTTTTACAAGCTGGTCTTAAACTTTTGTTAATAATTGTATTATATAAACATAAAAAAAAATTTGAAATATTTATTTATATTTAATTCACATTAGAACAGATTTTCTTGAAGTATAAAACAAGGATTTTTTTACATTATTCGGACTATTGTCCTCATCTTTGTCGCCATAATTATTACAACGTTTCGGCCGTTGTACGCCCCGGCCTTCTTCAGGTGGTTGGAATGTTTAATGTATGTCAGTTATCACTTATCTCCTGTTAATTAATTTCACTTATCTCCTGTTAATTAATGTCCCTCTGAAAGTTCTCCTTAACCGGGTATTGAACTCACACTCTTTGGGTCCTGTCACTGGATCTAACCAACGCCTTAATCCACTATGCCATGTGTCCTTGAGGACATCTATGTATGAATTTCTGGGTATTATATACCTGATGTCTCAGCAACCATTTTTACCAGTGCACATGTTGCAATTTTCTGTTGTTATCATATTATTTTTACCAGAGCTCATATTGCAACTTTTGTTGTTATTATCGCTTTTCTCTAGCACTCCTTATTACTGGTTCCCATATTATATTCATTTCTATGCTTGGTCGGCTCGGGAGATTTTTGTGGCCTAGCATATGTGCTGATTCCTTAAGTTTACGGATTTTCCAATGGTGTTCCCTGTCTATGATCTCAACATGATCCCACAGGGGGCGGTGATCTCCCTTCTCTCTCCATATGTGGTCAGCCACGCCTGATTTTTCTACTTCCTCTCGCGTTACAGCTTTCTGGTGTTCTTGAAGACTTACCATAAGGATTTTTTAAGAAACAATTTTTCTGGTTTTCGTTCAAGAAACAGTTTCCTTGCTTTCACTAGCTGTTATAGCTCTTTCTAGAAGTGACGCGGGTTTATTCTTAAAATTTTATTTGAAGTAGTGTGTAATGTTAACATCTTGATTATGTCATTATTTTCGCTTTGAGTTATATGTGCTATCGATTTTAGTTGTTGCTGCTGTCGGTAGTTTTCAAGAAATATAGTTCCTGCTATTTGGTACACTCCGTTGTTTGTGATTGTGTAGCGCCAGTCCACAATGTTCACAGAGGGATGATCTTTGCGATGACCCTATGGGATTCGACATTCTGAGTATCAAGCTTCCAATCGCTTAAAAGCAAATCATTTCAAAGTGTGACTTCAGGGAGAAAAGCTGCTAAGTACCACAATGGATAGGAAGTTGTAGAGAGCCATGATCCCTCACGTTCCGAACGGACACGGTACAGAAAAAGAACAGAGGACAATTGACCTCCTCTTGCTCGTTAGGATACAAGAAGTGGTGAGAGAAAGCTTCGATATTTAGCCGCAAGTTGTGGCGGGCAACACAATCCAGTCTTTACACCGTTGATTTCCCTGTTAATTCCTTATCGGATACAGTAGTGAGATCATCAATTAGTTAGGTTCAACTACGTCTGCTCCTCGACCTTCATATGGCCTTTGCTAGCCGTCAACGACTTCCCCGCTCTTTCTCTACTCACCACCCGCTTCACCGTCTGTCGTCGGTAAAAGCAATTTGTCATCTGACGCTCTGAAATCATTCAGTGTGTGATTACTAAACTGTCTTCGTAATTAGTCCGAGGATATGTCAGTCTTGGGGAGTGGGGGAGCAGCTGACGGCGACAGGTATGAAGCCTGACTATATCAATCATACATTACTAATTGTGCTACATCGGAAAGAGAGAGAAAAAGTAAGCTTGTACCGAGAGAGGAAGGGGAATAAATAGAAGAGTACTCACACGTTCTCTCTTACTCACTCTCATTTATTCTATATGTTTTCAATACTTGAGGGATCATGGCTCTCCACAACCGCCTATATTTTGCAATATGACGTTGATTAGAATGTTAAGAACAGTACACTGGAGAAAGAAAGAGAGAATTACAAATAAAATAACAAAGAAGCATTGACGATGCCTGATAATTAAAGACAGAGATTATAGATTAAAGACATAAATTAGAGATTAAAGACATAGATTAGAGATTAAAGACATAGATTAGAGAGGCGGCAAGAAACTTCCTGAGATGAAAAGAAAACGAAAAGAGAAAAAAAATCACTGTAAACTTCATCTGTCAAGCTTTAAAAGGATCATCTTAAAAACTCTTTCTTTCTTTTTATATGCCATGTCCTTTCAGGACGTAAACGATCATGGCTCTCAACATCTTCCTTCCTTCTGCTAGATCCCCCAGACCACGTTCTGTCATCCACTTGCTTAAGTCCGCCAGGTATGTCACGCGTTATTTTCCCTTGTCACTCTTTCCCTCTATTCGACCCGTGAGTATCAGATTCTCCAGGCCATCCTTCCTCATTATGTGTCCCAGAAACTTCAGCTGCCTCTTCTTGATATTAAGTATAAGCCTCCCCCTTGTTTGAATCCTCTCTAAGACCCCATCGTTGCTCACACGCTCGGTCCATGATATCCTTAGCATACTTCTGTAGAACCACATCTTTGTCTCTCGAGTCTCTTTTTTCATCTTGGAGGAAATGGTCCAACATTCGCTGCCGTAAAGAAGGGCAGGTGTCATGTAACAGTTCAGTATGAGCAGCCATAATAGGCTCTGGACGAGGCACCTAAAGCAAAAACAATATTACATTTGTGGAATGCAATGTGTGAGGAAGAAGGCTTGATAAAATATGACACAAGGCCATCAAACTGGGGAGTGATTAAGAGCAGAATTTAATATACTACGCGTACTTGTCAACTATCGATTTGCAGCAGTGAGTAGTAGGAACATTACGAGATATATATTGTCATCCACAGACAGGCTGTTTGCTGTATCACAGCTCATCGGTGTGGGTAGATCTCCGGTTGCTTCTAGCTAGGATCGAAACCCGGATGAATTGGCGTCAGTCGGAGATTTTACCCCTAAGCCGTTGGCTCACGGCAGGTGAAGAAGGTGAATTTTAAGCGTATTTATTTTAGAAAAACACACTGAGCGAGAGAACTCGATTCGATTTTACGGAAGAGTCTTGCATTATCAGCCATAATAGTCATTGTTTATATATATATATATATCATTAATGATGACAAACAAGATACTGCAATTAAGATTTTTATTTAATTTTTCTTGTGTTTGAACAAGTGTTTTCTTTTCTGGATACAAATTGTGTAGAAAATGTCTAAATGTTCTGTAATTACTAGCGCTTTCGGCAATACTCTTAGCCATTATCAAGGATGATTTTATTTTTGCGTTTTAATTGGGTGTATTGGTTGGGTGTATATTTATAGAGTTATAGGGATGTTTTATTTTCCGAACACAGTTAGCACATTGTGGCCGTGTTCGTAGTTAATATTATTTTTTTTATATTTTTCTTTTGTATTATTAAAGCTTAATATTAGTTTAAAGGAAGTTAACATTAGCCAGAAAAGGGCTTATGCAAAAGCGTCTCTCTCTTATTAAATTTTGAATTCATCTATGAAAACAAAAAAAACATTTTGATTCAATTCTACACTTGATAAAGTCGGAGGACGAAACGCGTCGGCAAAAACAAAGATGCTTTTCCTATTGTCATTTTTCTTCTACCAATTTGTCTTATTCACGGAATTGTTCTGGCAATTTTATTAATATATATATATATATATATATATATATATATATATAGAGAGAGAGAGAGAGAGAGAGAGAGAGAGTGAGAGAGAGAGAATGAGATAAATAGATAAATATTATGATCAATCTAGCTCCTCTTTCATTTTTTTTTTATTTTCTAAGCAATAAAACTTATGGTCACATGCATGTAATTCCCTCAAATATTATGACTAAATCCAGAAAGTCATTGTAGTTCATTTTTAGATGCATACATTAAATTGACTTCTGAATATTAAATAAAACAATTTATTCTGTAATAATTTATTATTAAACGTGACATGGATGTTAGGGCTATTAAACTATAATATGAATATTTTAGACTATAGTGAAAAAATAAAGACATTTTGGAGACAAAGTGAAAATTTGACGTATTTGTATCAGATGTCACGCATGATAAAACAAAAACCATAGAGCAAATATTTCAAAAACGTTTACTCAAATTGGTAAATGATTGATCCATTCATTCCTTTCTTTCGGGCACCTCGACGTGGTATAATGACTGGAAAAGTCAGTTCGATCCTCACTAGGGGCCTCATACTTTCGGCCTTGTGCCACGTCTAAGCTACGCTTAGAAAATAGCCATTCACTCGTTTGTATATTTGTATGAATTTTGTTTGGAAAATAATAATTATTTATTGATACGAGTATTACTAATTAACCCATAGCTGGGGGAAGAAGAGCTGGATTCATAACTTTCCTAAGGTTATTTGCGCCAAAATAAATATAACAAACCCAACTGGAATTGGAACTCGGCTTTCCGATTAAAAATTCTGTACCATTATCAATTAAACTATCTGCATATCAAAGCTTATAGCGCCTAGTATTCCTAAACGGTCACTCATCTAGGTGCTGGCCAGGCTCAACGTTGCTTATCTCCAGTTATCGTACGCGAACTGGTGTTTCAACGTTATATGGGTGTAAACTCAGAATTGGTAAATGATCAGGTTCTTCCAGCTAACATCTATGTATCCATTAGAACTTTAAGTTTTCTGCAGTCCCGGTCGTATTATCCCAGACCCCCAAGGACAATGTCCCATTAAGGTCTATTTTAACTATGGTTGGGCTCTGTGCCACAAAGTTTGGCTAATTAGTTATAACTAGTACTTGAGATTTCATTGGTAAAAGGATTTTCTCATTTGGTTATCTTTATCTTTAAAATTCTTCCTTTGACACTAGTATCATGATTATGACTTCTTTAAATACTAGTATTTCTTTTACTCGGAGCTTTCTCCCGTTAAAGCAAATTATCCTGTATCAAGTGTTACAAAAATGCAGGACTCAATATAAACCTTTCTAAAAGAGAAAATATAACCTTGAATTTGAATGAAAGCATTGATGGCACCGACTCTGATTCCATCTTAAAAATTCAGGATGTGAAATTAGAAAATAAGAAACACTTCAAATACCTCGGCGTGTGCATCAGTTATAACGAATTTAGTTTATAAAATAAGAAAATTGAACACAGAATAAGCTGTTCTGATGAGAGTTTAGTTCAACACCGCAAACTGCAAAACCTTAACCTAAAAATTTGAATCGTGTCCTTAAATAGCTTCGTCAGATGGAAACTTTAATATGGATAACATGCATAGCACCAAATCCGCTCAAAAATATTTAAACTGTCAATTGTATATTACATACAATTTCTGGGATCAATGATTAAAATGCCTTCAGGCGAGTGAAGCATCAAGATATTTGCGAAGATGATTGTTATTCGAACTTCGTTGTCTGGATAACAGAAACCACATCAATTGACGTCTTTCAACAGTAGAAACAGGTAAAATAGATATCACGTAACCCGAAGAAAATAATGACATCATTAAAGTTCTAACTATTCTACACTACTTTAATTAAAGTTTAAAAAAGGAAACCGCTAAAAATCCTTGAAAAAGCAATAATAATGAATTTGAAAAATATATTTTCCTGAAAAATTGTTTTAATTGTTAGAAAGAATTTTATAAATCTCACTTATTGTTGTGGCCTCTTTAGGGGTCAGAAAGAAAGACACGGAAGACGAAGGTAGGTTGAATAAGTATATTGAAGATATATACAAAACAAACAATAGTTTTAGTAATAAGTAGATTAGCACTGTGTCTACTACTCCACTCCACTTCACTCTATCCGACCCTCGCAGTTTGTATTGATGAGAGGAGGGAGAGTTCATTCTACTGTAAGAGGGTTTACCACAACACTTATGGCAGTAGCAATGGCTGCTTTGTCAAAGATTACAAAATGTTTCCACATAGGGAAAAGGCTATTATTATTATTATTTACATGTTAATGGAAATCTGAGCTGATGTTTTGGATTGGGGTCATTTTGTTAGGTTTCAAACAGACCATGTTACGAATGGAGTGTTATTTTTCCCTGATTACTAAACTTAAGCCAGTCTGATATAAAAATGGATCAGAGGAACAAAACTGACTAGTCCATACTGAATTCTAACAGACTATTGTCCTAGTTAGATACCATCATATATATCATGTTTCAGGACGTATAAATATGGTAGCTACGTATGATATGGTTGGGAACGAAGAAATATTTTTTTATAAAATTCTACCTGTTTTTTTTTTTTATTTTCTTGAAGGGAATTTTCGTTATCTCATCGCTTTGTTTGTTTTATTCATTCTTCATTTTTAGGGGATTTTAAACTAACTAAATGCATCTCATGTCTATTTTCGTTCGACCGATGCGTTTCTCGTCTAAATTTGTCTCCTGGGAGACGGCAGAATCCTCAAAGCCAAATGCATTCTCCTATAAAAGGTAAGTGTCTTCAAACTGCTTCCAACCTTTGAAAGAAAAACATCAATTCGAAACTAAGTGAATCATCTCAACGAGAGAGGAAAGCCAACGTATTTTACAGAAAATCCGAAATAGAGACTCTCTTTCAGAATAATCAAATAAGCAGTTGAAAATGTTGCATTGTATTGATTGAATTTGACAGAGCACTTTTAAAATAAAAGAAACAAACAAAAAACATGGTAATTCTAAAACGTGTGAACTTTTCCATTTAGGATTTATTGCTAGAAAATACATTAAACGGAATCTAAATCAATCTTCGAAAAGAAAAAAAAATGGCGAACCAAAAAAAAAAAAAATACATGTAAAAGACAATATTAAAAAATCAGAAATAAAGTAATCTTTCGCTTGATAGAAAATGAATCCTATTAAGTGAACTAAAAATACGTTTTACATGCAACAATTAAAATTTTATAGATATTTACTGTTAAGTCTGGCATGAGGTCGATAAAATAGAGAAAAAATGGCATTATTTCATTACTCACTATTCGAATCTTGCTGATTGTAATACAGTAACAACTCTGAGGTTATGAAACTTTATTTGACTCATTCATCGTTAGCACTGAAAAACGTTTATTTTATTGAGAGATGGTTACAAATAAGAGGGGAGGTGGGATGTGCTTATTTTATTAATTGGGCAATGCATCTTAACTTGATTAGTAACTGTTTATTTTACTTTTATGAGAAAATTATCCAGCATCCCCTATCACAGGTATTACATAGCACTTAAGAACACTTCTTTTTCTCCACACCACTACCCAAAACAACTCATATCTTCATATAGTTTTCAAAAGCATCTTTCGCTCTTCCAAATGCAATATAGCAACAATTCCAAGAAGCTTATACTGCTTTATTTGACTCTTTCAAATTTAGTGCTGAAAATGTTAATTTTATTGTGGATGGTTACAAGCGAGAGGGGAGATGGGATGGACTTCTTTTATTACCACACTGATTATTGGTTTAATAGGATGTTAGATTCGTATTTGTCATCTGAAGATAATGTTCAAAATTCCTTCCTGTTCACAAAAATTCGTGACCATTACCGTTGCTGCTAACTATTGATTCTTGAATTTCGTAGATCTTCGACAACCCGAGTTTTCGGATCATAGTGGTTTGACAATATTCCATCAACAGTGACAAGTCATTCAAAATGGATTCTCACAAGCCCGCCTAAAAAAACTAAAAAATGAACTAAGATATCCCCTGGTTATTGTTGGCATTCAAGCAGTTTTGGCCCTCACTTGGTCTAAAGTGGTCGAAAGAGCAGTTTGTGGGTGCTGTATCTGCTGACAGATACAGCATACCCAGGCTGCTCTTTAAACCAAAAATGAAACTATTGCTGTCATATTTGGATCGGAACTGCTCAATTGTCACTCTCCAATTCTGAAAGACTTCAATATCATTTACCTGATCATGTGAGGGAAAATCAGCAGTATCCTTCCCTATCGCTATTTCCATCACAAATGTTCACTTTAGTTCCACATTTATTATTAGAGTCCGCTGAACTACTTCCGCAGAGTCGATCCACCTTCATTTCCACGTATCTGTCTATATTTCTGAGATGACTTATTATGTACATCATTTATATTATACGGACTATTGTCCTCATCTTTGTCGCCATATTTATTACAATATTTCGGCCTTACAGTATCTGTCTATATTTCTGAGATGAGGTATTATGCGCACTATTTATATTATTCGGACTATTGTCCTCATCTTTGATGCCATATTTATTACAACGTTTCGGCTCTTTAGTATCTGTCTATAATTCTGAGATGAGGTATTATGTATATTATTTACATTATTCGGACTATTGTCCTCATCTTTGTCGCCATATTTATTACAACGTTTCGGCCTTTCAGTATATGTCTATATTTCTGAGATGAGGTATTATCTACACTATTTACATTATTCGGACTATTGTCCTCATCTTTGTCGCCATATTTATTACAACGTTTCGGCCGTTGTACGCTCCTCAAGGACAGATGGCACAGTGGATAAAGGCGTTAGTTAGATCCAGTGACAGGACCCCAAAGAGTGTGAGCTCAATACCCGGTTAAGGCAGTGGAGAACTTCCAGAGGGAAATTAACTGGAGATAACTGATAACTGACATCCATTAAACAAGGCACGTGGAACTAGAACAGTCTACCCCAGTGAGCGAAATAAAGGATTCAGTTCGACATTCCAACTACCTGAAGAAGGCCGAAGCGTACAACGGCCGAAACGTTGTAATAAATATGGCGACAAAGATGAGGACAATAGTCCGAATAATGTAAATAATGTTCATTTCCCCGGTATTCCGAATGTAATCCAATCAGACAGATTTTGCCCAAGAACTGCCACTTTGTGAAATAGATTCTGGCGTGGAGACTCTTCTGAAAACTGAAATACGAATCTCTTCAATTCTAGGACCAATTAGCAATCATCATAACCATTCTAAGAGTAACCATCTATCTTGAGTGACCTTCAAGCATTGTATCAGTTGTATTTTAGTATTAAAAAATTATAAAGCCAACGTGAACATTGGATATCTCTGGGGTCTCGGTAATTCATTTGTCCGAGATTCATCGATCGGTTAAAATTAAAACACGCATGATCGAATGTTTTGAGGGTTGACATAATTGAAAGCGTCGAAAGTTTGCCGAATCTTGCGTCTGAAAATCTCCATGCAGGACGTCGGTACACGACTGAAAATTGTCGCTTAACCCTTTGAGTCCTGACCACCGCCTTACCGGTGGTAGAGAAAAATGACTTAATGCCCAACTACCGGCTGAATAGTGGTAGAGAAAAATGACGTAATGTCCAGCTACCAGTTGAACAGTAGTAGAGAAAAATGACGCAATGCCCAGCTACCACAGATTTGGAGCAGCCAGAGTGTACTGAATTTATAACATTTTTTTCTTTCTCTTTATTTTATTAATTTTTTTTTTCTCTTCTTTCTTCCTTTTTTTTTTTTTTTCCTTTTCTTCTTCCATTATTATCAGGTTATCCCATGAGTTCTGTCAGAATTTTGAATAAAGAAAACAAGTGACCAAATGTTAGATTTATTTCCAGATTCAATCAACAATGTATTTTCCCTGATTATCTAGGACTTCGTTACATCTATTAACAAACTTAATAATTCTATTACTGTAAAATTCTTTTGGCTTTGATTCGAAGAACTCACAAATGTCAGTTTTAACCTCTTCCTGTGTTACAAAAGCTGTTTCTTCCAAATGATTCTGTAAGCTACGAAACAAATGGTAGTCTGAAGGAGAAAGATCGGGAGAATAAGGTGGATGAGGAATTTTCTCCCAACCAAGTTCTTCGATCTTTTGTGACGTGATTCTTGCTGTGTGGATTCGCGCATTGTCTTGATGAAACATCCCTTCTTTTCGATTCACTAGAGCAGGTCTTTTTTATTCCTCAAAGATTGGTTCAAATGCTCTAATTGCTGACATTATATTTGAGCATTAATTGTTGCATTAGGTGGTAAGAATTCAAAGTGGATTATTCCTTGACGATCCCACCAGATTGAAAGAAGAACCTTTTGCCCATGAAGTTCCCTTCTCGGCTGTGGCTGGGGTCCTTCCCCTTTACCAAGCCACTGTCTACGACGCTTAACATTTCGATAAAAGATCCATTTTTCGTCGCCAGTCACAAGTCTATCCAAAAAAGGTGAAACAAGTTGGCGAGAATGGAGAGAAGAGCAGATGTCAACTCAGGATTTGAGGTTGTTTTCAGACAATTCATGAGGCACCCATTTTCCAAGTTTAGGAACTTTTCCAAGTTGTTGAAGATGACGATGAACAGTTGTATGGTTTGAACTGAGAACCACTGCCAATTCCTCAACTGATAAAGCAGGATTTTCTTCAAGGTCTGCTTCAAGAAGCTTTTCATCAAACCCAACTGGACGTCCGGTTCGATCTTCATCTTCAAGGATGAAATCTCCACCTCTGAATTTCGCAAACCATCTTCTGCAAGTTCTTTCATTTACACATTCCTCTCCATAAACTGAGTGAATGTTTCTAGCCGCTTTGGCTGCTGAGTTTCCTTTCTTGAACTCATAAAGCATTATGTGCCTCAAATGATTCTTGGGTACTACCATGTTAGCAGGGTTTTAATCAAACAAAATTTAATTTTATTGTTCTCTCAAATAAAATTTGGTTAGTTTAAATGCATCTAAACATAAAAATAATGTTCAGCTCCATTAGTCATTATAAAATACTCTTTAAATTTCCTTAATTTTAACAAAAAGTTAAAATTCGAACAGAACTTATGGGATGACCTGATATATTTCTGGTTGAATATTTTGTACTTCTCTCTCTCTCCTTCCCCCTCTCTCTCTCTCTCTCTCCCGCTTCCCCCTCTCTCTCTTTCTTTCTTTCTTTCTTTATTTATTTCTTTCTTTTAATTTTCTTTTTTCGTTCTTTTTATTTTTTCCAGGGACAGTTTCTCCATCTTTCTTTCTTTCTTTCTTTCTTTCTTTCTTTCTTTCTTTCTCTTTTATTAATTTATTTCACTTCTTTCTTCTTTCTTCTTTTTTTCTATTATTATATGTTTAGATGTATTTCGTTCCTTTCTTTTCCTCTTTTTCTCTTTTCCTTTCTCTCTTTGTACTTCTTTTTTTCTTTTTTCCTTTTGTCCATAATCTTTTCTTATCTTTTTATTATATGTTTATACTTTTGGCTGTTGTTTTTCTTTTCTCCCTTCGTCCTTTTTCTTTTTTTCTTTCTTTTCACTTCCTTCTCTCTATTTCTTTTGTTCCTATCTTTCTTCATACTTTCTCTTTTATTTTTTCTACTTTATTCTTTTTCTATTCTTTTCACTCATTTCCATCGTTTTATGTTTTGAAACTTTTCATTTGTAAATTCATTTCTTTGTTGTTATTTATTCCGTTTTTTTTTTCCTCAGTCTTGATATGCATAGCTATGACTGCCATTTCGCTATGATTCAGCAACTTTGATACTGTTTTTAATTAATCCAATTCTAAGCACCAGGGCATTACATAAGAAATGAAATTACACATTCATTAATTGATTAGATAACAACTCTTAATCTTTACTAATTAGTTACATTGTAATTACGCTATTGACTAATGAGAAATTAGCAGCGTCTAAAACGTATTGGTATAAAAATAAACTTTGAGTTACAAATTCGAATATGACGCCTAAGATATTAAAATAAAACGATTAGCAATCATAAGACTGAGTAATAACTTTTTTTATGAAAGTGCAGTCAACTTTCAGTTATTGTTTCTCAATCAATTTTGAAAAGGCAAATAAAAAAAATCACATTAGTTTTCAACGCCCTCAAAGGTAAGTATGTAAATTAAAAACACAACATTTATTGTCGTTAGGCAATAAATATAACAGGACTTTACAGGATGCGAAAAGAATCGGTGTATCATTTTACACAAACTAATTAACAGTATTTTTACTACGTTCAGAGCTCCCATAGCAAATAAAATGCTATCATTGTACACAACACATGAACCTGTGTACACAAAGATCGTAAAAAAAAAATGGAACCCTCTGGCGGAAATGTTGCAACTGAATCTAAAAAATTCTAAATATGTACGTAGATTTTTGTAATCGAATTTACTCCAAGCAAGGCATTAAAGCCACTAAGATGCAAGGGCTTGCTGGATGTGAAAGAATTAGAAAACAGAAACATTACTAAGTAGCAAGAACAATAAAAGAGTAATCAGGAAGACGGTAAATAACGATTGACATTGCATTTAAATTTTTTAAGATCAAAGTTAACTAGAAAGCATGGCGCCGGAAGAGAGTTACACAAGGACGAAGTGCGAGAAAATAAACTGTTAGCATAGTTACATTTAACCAATTCAACTGTAAATAGATGAGACCTTGTTGCAAATCTAGTTTTGCGCTTAAATTCATAAAGTCTAGGTAAAATAGCGAAGAGTTCATCTAAACAATAACTATGAAAGCATGTATAGAAAATGCGCTGGTATGCAATATCTGATAAAAGAATGGTACCATCGTATATAATATATGAGAAAAGAATGGTACAGTCGCATATAATATATGAGAAAAGAATATCATCGTATATAATATATGGGAAAAAATGGTACTATCTTATACAATATATGATAAAAGAATGGTACCATTGTATATAATATATGATAAAAGAATGGTACCATCATATATAATATATGAGAAAAGAATGGTGCCATCGTATACAATATCTGATAAAAGAATGGTACCATCATATACAATATCTGATAAAAGAATGGTACCACCATATATAGTATCTGATAAAAGAATGGTACCATCATATACAATATACGATAAAAGAATGGTACCATCGTATACAATATATGATACAAGAAAGGTATCATCATTATGCAATATATGATACAATAATAGTATTATCATGTACAGTACATGATGCAAGATTGGTACCATTGTATGCAATATATAATGCAAGAATGGTACCATCATATAAAATATATGATAAAAGAATGGCTCCATCTTATACAATATATAGAAAAAATGAAAATATCAAGTGAATCAATTTTCATACAGGGTGTAACTGATAACGACTATCAGATAATACAGGCTGGCTATGAAGAGACAGAATGCTATAAAACAAAAAGAAACACTTTTTTTTTTTTCATTTTTTTTTTTTTAATTATTTTATTTGGAAGTATAATTAATGGGTTTCAGAAGTGATGTTCTGGTTATGCCTAATTCAGCCGATCGACGACGGGTAGAAGCTGATGGATCTTCAAGGACACTCTGCCGTGCAGCTTTCACTGTTGCGCCAATGTGCACAGTGTGCTTAGGACCTCTTCCCGGAAGATCGCCGACTGTTCCCGTTCTTTCATACCGGGCGATTAGGTTCCGAATCACGTTATCTCTAGGAGATACTTTGACATTAAAATGATGCTGACATTTTCTCTGAGTTTGAATAATTGATCTTTCATTGGAGCAGAAAATCTCAATGAGCGTTAATCGTTGTTGGGCATCTTTCGTAGCCATTTTAATCTCCAAGGGAAGGCATGCTCTATAACCTGAAAGAAGAAAAGAAAAGAAAAAAACGACTGAAAACGAACAAGTTATTTCAAATCATTCATTTTTTTTTCAGTGACCACGCTATGTAAGTAATTAATTATATAAAAACTAGCAAATATAATGAGGAAAAAAATTTCACTGATTTATACATTACTAGCAGTAGAGCCCGGCGTTGCCCGGGGATGTAACAGTAAGAGGTAGATCAAGTATCGACCATCATAAAGACTGAAAAATAAAATTGACAAAGATTATTGTTTAAGGTTGACGGACACGCATGTCTTAATTAGTTTTTTTTTTGTTTTTTTTTTGTTGTTTTTTTTTTACGAATTGGTCAAACCCAAACTCAAACAAAAACATTGTTTTCAATCGTTATGAGTCTACCGATTGAATAGAATTTTATTATAAACAATTGTCTTGTAAATGGAATTTTTAAAGCATTCTGAATGTAAAAATAAAGAAAAAAGTGTGCAAGACAATAAGAAACACTACCTGCTCCAAAAAAGTGAAGTTTTGTTAAAATCGGTTGAAAAATGT